GATTACAGAGCACTAGGTGAAGTTCCAGGATTTCAGCAGGGAGGCAACCTCTGTGGCAGGCGCCCAGAGAAACAGGCAGGATGGTTCAAGCAGAAGGCACTGCAGTGTGGGATCATAGCTGAAGTGCTCAGAGTGATATAATTAACTTGAAAGGGGGGTGCAGCTGCATAAACTTCACATCCATACTTGCTCTAGAGAAGGAGCAAGCTCCTGTGGTTCAAGTGTAATAAGAGGATCCCTTCTGAGTTTGGCTGCACAAAGCGTGAACATAGAGGTCCAAAAAGCAGCTTTTTTTATATATGAAGATACTTGTAACTCTTCTTCTCATCCACCTGTGCATACTTCCATGCCCTGGAAAGATGTAACAAAATTATAATGTCAACATTATAGAGAGTACTTGTTTCTTTCCTTTGTGATGGCACACAGAGCCCAGAGTCAGCCAGGCTGTGTAAGCCACACCCCCTGGAGACCTGGAATCATTGCTGCTCCTCCTGACTCAGCTAGCACGGTGCCAGGCTTACCACTGTTCTGCCAGAAATACACTAAATACCACGTACAGGATGGGTGCAGATACCCAACAGAGAGAGTAAAATGAGGCTTTACCCTAATCTTGGATAAAGTACTGTATTACTAACTGCAGAAATCGGTTACCATCCAAGGATGGTGAAGGGTCCCCAAAAGCATAGACCAAAAGTGCAGCAGACAAGCAAGCAGAAGGACAAATTTTAACCACTGTGGAACTTGACAAAGTGCAGAAGCCCTGTCACAGGTAAAACAATGTTAGTATCAGACCATGACTTCTGAAACGCAACTTCAGACCATCCTCTTGAATTCAGTTACCCCACCCAGAGGTTTCGATAGGTTGTATTTCACCGCTCAGTGAGACAAGCTGGCAGTGCAAGAACATGTTCAGACATAACAATGCAAATCAACTCACCTCATTAAATTCTGCATAGGGGATACATACACACGTTGCTGTAGGACAGTTACTTTTTTTCCTTTTTTTTTTTTTTTCCAACTAATCATTTGCAGAGAGCAAAACAAATTCTTCCAGCTTTCTAATTGACCACAGAGCACGGTATGGTTTAATTCTTTGCTCTGAGAAAGAATAGCAGTGTTGTGCCCCATGAAAAGACAGTTGCTGTTTACACAGGAGCTTAATGCATTTGAATACTTTGTGTACTAGAAACTATATGAATTTTTTCAGCATTATTTCTTTAAAATTTACTCATGGAAAGTGATATTTTTACAAATACCTTGTTATTTTCAGGGAATTTTTACCCTTTTATCAGTTTCTGTCTATGAAGGGCAATTTTTTTTTTTAATCATATTTCCTTCATTTTACCTTAGCCTGAAATCCTTGCGTCCACACTAACGGGGGGGGGGGGGGGGGGAGGAAGAGGGGGGGAGAAAAAAAATTTGAGGCTCTTTTTCAGGAAAATTAACTTCCTGTAAAAACTTCTCTTTTTTTAAGCAAAGTAAATATTGTATGAACCTCACTCTGCAAGCCCATATCATGCAGAGTGGGAGGTGGACATGCCAATATACTTGCTTCAGTGGTTGAAGGAGTTCATGCTGCCCCCACTCCTCACAGACCAGAAAATAAATGAATGCACAAGTTTAAAAGTACTTCTCTTTCAAAAAGTGTCCAGAGGATGACATGCTGAGATTTATAAGGGTTCAAAGTTAAACCATTTTTGTGCAACCCAACCTACTCCCTTCATAAGTGTATTTGCCTTCAAGAACATGCACTATTTCCATTAGCACATAAAGAGAGACTGACATCTGTGTTCATGGATTTGGATGAATAGAAAATGAGCATAAAGTATTTTTCAGGTCCATGCTGGATATTTATATTGAATTATTGTCCTTAGACTTACTTATAAATGTACTGTTTCTATGTATATAGCCATACCAAGTCTGTCTCTTTTGAAAAATATATTAAGGCAGAGATTCCCACATAAACCAAGGGCAGGAAGGTCTCCTAGGGTGCCTTTGAAGGTCTTCTCCACAGAAGTTTGTCTTCAAAAGTTGGCTGAATTCAGACATTCCAAAATTGCAGATTATTCTTTTGAAGTTCTCCAGGAAGCTTTGTTGCTGTGTGGCCTCAGGACACTTCTGCTATTTGTTTTCCTTTGACTCGATCAGAAAAAAATAAACCAGGTGGTACCAGGAAAGCAAAACAATCTACATACTATCTTCCACAAGAGGGTGCACTTGCATTTTGTTAAATCCAGAGCCAACAGCAATTAATAAAAGGATTGCAGCAACAGCTGCCAGACTGCCTACAGAAATGACTAACGAAACAATTATAGAAAAGAAATCATCAAGAGCGGTGAAAGATGGGGAAAATTATATTGAAACACACTGAATGTATTAATAAACAGCACTGTCAGGTGACATTCACTAAAAAAAAAACTATTCTTTCAAATCTCAGCAGGATCCGTTAGTAATTTGTTTTCTTTGAGCTAGTGAAGAGCCACAAGTGCTCCAAGGGGAAGCCCTCAGCTATGAAATCTGCTCTCACATTTTAATTTGACTTCCCAGACATTTCCAGAAACATCAAGCAGCAAATAGAGCATTTTTTACTTTAACCAGTTAAATCTGTAGTGATCCTGGGCCCTTCAATTGCTTCATTCCATGGGGTGTCATGAAACTCAGAAGTGTTAGGGGCCATTTCGCATGTTGGTCTAGCAAAGGTTTTTTATATTGCTGTACTTTTTATTATGAAAGCACCTAACAGATCTGTCATAAGGCCTAGCATCTCATTGTGAAAACTTAAAAAAAATAAATTGTACATTCCTGCAAGAACCGGGTGAAAGTTCATATAACTTAGCTGACCAAAATGGTCCATGTGCCAATGGGTATGATGCCAACAGCCATCTTCAAATACCCATCAACTCTGTATTTGGTTTGTTGCTCTGCTCTCCTTGCTCGTTGGTCCCTTAAGCCTGTGCTGTCCAAAGCTCTGCAACCCCAATCTCTTAGTGCCTTCTATCCATAACGGACACTTTGGCCTGGCACCAGAGATAGGGTTCAAATGTGGGTGAAATCTCAGAGGTGGTGATAGATATTTAGAGTGCTTGACACTGGCTGGTCTGTTGGTCACTTCTGCTCTCAAACTTGGTGAATCACCTGTTTATTATATTCAGAAAAGCATGTGATTAACTTGAGTAATAGGAAATAACAGGCTGTGTCTCCTACTCGCTCTTGACATGATGAAGCTTGCCCTGATACAGAAGAAGCCAGCACAACATTTGTCACATTTAAAGCACAAGTTGCCTCGAAAAAATAGACATTGAGACAGTCATCAGTTCTAGAAAGTGAGAGACTCACGGCAACTTTTACAAGGATGTAAAATGCCCTAACTATGTATCCTAAAAATTCAGTAAGAGTACAGCATCCCATATCTTTCCCCAAAATACTTTGCTGTCTCTGTTAAAAACAGGTTTGTGTCTGGTTTTTAAAATCAAAATTAGTAGTATGCCTCTAAATATTAAATAATGATGAATTTTTTTAATATGTTTCTAAAGCAAATGTTTCTAAACATACAAACTTTTGCTTAGAAGAATAAGACTTTTTGTCAAAAAAGCAGTGTTCAGGTTTTTTTTTTAATGCCCAGTCTTGGCAAAACACTTGTGAAATCTCAGTTGTGATTTTTTACCTCAAAAGCCCAAGCCTTTCAACAGAACTTTTTCACATTTTTAAGCAGAGTTGTCAAGTGCGTCTGTGAAACATCATATTTCAAATGTGTTGAAACACACCAAGTTATGCTACATGGATTTCATCAGGTTATGTTTGGTGTGTATGAAATAAAATTCAATAAAATTCTTATTACCAGATTGGAGCAGTCAAAAGGTTCTACTGAGAGGACATTTTCAAATGCACTTGGTTTTGGCTTGACTACTTCCCTCTATTGCTGCTCCAGAATTCTGTTCATGGTTTTTAATAGAAAAGTGGTTTCTGTAATATTTTTTCCACAGGAAAAAGTTGGTTGTGCCAAAATAATGTAATGTCCCTTTGGGAAAATAAAAAAAAGAATCCAAAATGTTTTGAACTGTCCAAGCAAATCTAAATGTTTTTCTTCAGGATGGTTTGTTATTACTCATCATGAGTTTGTCATGGTTTAGGTCCCTCATTTTCCCCCATCATCTGGGGTTCTTTTACGGATTACATTTTCCATCAAGAACAATAGTGTCCCTTCTAGCTGTTATGATGATGCATCAAAGATGTCCCAAGCCCACATTTTAAAACCAAAATACTTTGGAACTTGCTGTGTTTTACTTTTCTTCCCAATTAGAAAAAAAAAAAAGCAAATATGTGAGACAATTTTGAACATACAGTCTTGATTTTCAATAGGCTCCATTTCGAAGGAAAGAGGAGTAGGATAAGGAAATTCTTGTGCTTTGGAAAATCCCACTTTAACCAAAAGAAATAGGAAAAATAAGCAGAAAGAAGTAGCATGTGAGCCATGATAGTGTAATCCGTATAGCTGTGTATTTTTCTTTAATTAGTATTGTTCTTCTTTTCTTTAGCTACGTTTCTCTACACATTATTAACTAGCATTGCTAGTTAATTAACTAGAATTATAAATATATCTTCGTATCCTATCATTTACAATTTATTGCATGAGAAATGAAACACCAGACACGCAAAGTTATCTCGCTTCAACAAATGATTTAATGAAATGTATGAAACATAAGAAAATACTGCAATATGATGTTGCTTAAAAAAAGAATCCAAGATTTTTGCATCCCCTCCAAAGTTTTACAGTTGTGTGAAACAGCAGGATCAGTTATTTGCATATTCTAAGAGGGGAGAGGGTGGGGGTGGAGAAATGACTATTTGCCAGCTGCCTTTCTTAGAATAATTCAAAATTTTTATAAATGCATGTTGGTAAAAACTGTCCCAAATAAATAAATAAATAAATAAATAAATAAAATTTGTCCTTTTTAAAGCTTTCAGTTCTGAATTTATGGCATGTACTTAGTTCTCCTGAACCTTTATAGCGGTGGGTTTTTTCCTTTTGAAGAGCATGAACAAAAAGGTTCTGGGCAGCCATGATGTACCATCTCCTGCCTCAGCACTCGTGAAGGGGCCTCAGGTTCAGTTCTATTCTGCTCCTTTTCTCTCCTGAAAGCCAGATGCCCAAGAAGCACAGTGACAAAACATCAGGGCAAATCAGGAGTCTGCAGAACAAAGATAGGAACAATTCAGAAGTAGTTTTCCTTCTCTATTCATTCCCATATGGTTTTTCTTTTTAAGCAAGGGGTGAAGGAGGGAAGAGCCGCTACTATTTTCCCATAATAGTTGTTGCATGGTGGGAGGTCTGTTCCAGCTCTGCGTTCCTACTTAATTGCAAAGAAATGCTGGCTTAGCCTTTGAAGCCTTGGAGTGGAGCATCTCCAGCCTCCTTGGCTAGTGAGAGAATATGCAGATGGAGTTTCGGGAGAACTCACCTTAGATCTACTAAGTTCCTACACACGCAGTGAGCCTGGGCAGAGGCTTATTTACTGTCAGGTCAGACGTGGGTGTACTATTAACACCTATTGCAAAAAATATATCCCTGGCATCTACATGTGAGACTAACGACATTGGAAACAACTGTGTCCAGTCTGGAAGTAGAGGTGTTTCTCTACAACTTAGCTGGCAAAGTTGCCTCCTCCTAACTTGAGAAAGCAGATTTTCACATTGCAAGTGTCAAAGCAGTGAGGCAGGCAATTGCCAAGAACAATCTTTGCCTAAGAAGTAGAATTTGGGTGATTATAGGTACTGAAAACTCTTACAAACAGTACTAACAATCATTAACCACGGGAAAGGCTACAAGCTCTGCTTTTGATAAACCCAGGCTTCTTCCACCTCTTCATGTATTTTTCAGATTTTAAGAACCAGTATAAGTGCTACCTCTTGAACAGTTGTTACCTCGTCTGCCTCATTCATGACTCTCATTCACCCCGACACAGATTCTCAGGGAAGAATGGAAGAGATTGTGGCTGCTTCCTGCTTCGCAGGAACAAAGCAGATAGTGATAAGGTAACCAAAGGGTATTTATCTGGCGTGGGTGGGAACGGAGAAACATGCGAGCAGAGCCAAGTAACTGTTAAACTTCAGGAAAACAGAGCCATCTAGCTCTCTCCTCATCTATTAATGCAATCACATTGGATTTTCCTAAGTTCTGAAATATCAGAAAATTCAGGCTGTTCTGGGTGTAGCTGAAGTAGGATAAGAAGCCAATGATTACCTCTTTATTATTACCTATGTTATTACCTCTTTCCTGATGTCAGTGAGCACAACAGAGTATATGTCACTACCTAGCAAAAGTGCATCAGCATATTCTTGGTTTTTAGAAAACTGTTAGGAGACTTAACTTGGGATCATGTTGGCAGAACTGCAAAACTATGGGGGAAAAACTATAGATGTAGTTATGCCAGCAGACCTGAGGGGACTGTTACCTACACCCGAAAGAATCGTGATAAGAAAATTAAAGACATGGAAAAAACACTAGAAATAGAGGGGATGCTGAGTAGAAAAACTACGCATCTGACAGATGCCCAGTTTTCTGAGATCTCTAAACAATGCACAACATTAATGCCCACTTGCAATGGTGAACATTGCAAGAGCCAGCAGCCTTATCCTGATCAAAGCTCCACTCTGAGGATTTGTTTGGCATCCCCAACTGAGAGAAAAATTTTGTCCCTGGAACTATTCCCAAGGTAACAAATTTCATCACATTCATCTCTAAATTAAGAAGGAAAGTTTTCTGATCCTCAAGGTTGTCACCAACAATTACCTTCAGGGATCCCTGTTAGGGCAGGAACAACAACCTTGCACATAAAATTCAGAAGACCTGTTAAGCATTAAAATATAATAAAGAGCATTCACACAGGCCTGAGGAATTTGTTCATCTTTAATCAGGCTAGTAGCTCAGAGGAAAGGACCATACAGAGTCTCAAGTAAGGCTTAACTATCGATGAGAATAAAATCTCTTTTTTTTTTTTTAATTCTGTTTCCTTGGCTTTGGTTTATGAAAGCATGTATAAAAGCACAGCAGCAGCATGTGTGTTCAACGGTAAAAATTCAGGATGCACTGGAAAAGGGGAGATTTTGATGCAGAATCCCCTAGCAGTGCTCCCTAAATGCCATATTAACTTGGATTCCGCAGCTAGTAACATAAGCAAGCATTACTATGTCATATCATAGGTAGTCAGCACAAAGATATATAACCAGTACATATA